AGACTAAATGTTTCAGTTCAGCGATCTGATACTCAGCCACTGCCTTAAATAGTGGCTTCGTCAACCAGGTGATCAGGAACAGGTGAAGCTTCAACATGTACTGCATTGGTCTCCACAGTCGCCAAAACTCAATCTTTTAGAGCACCTTTGGGATGGGGTCAAAGGGGAGATTTGGATGATTTGAATTTGCAGCTGGTAAATCTGCAGCAACTGTGTGATGCTATCATGTCAGTATCAACTAACATCTCTGAGGAATGGAACCTTGTTGAACCTGTGCCACAAAGAATGAAGGATGCTCTGAAAGCAAAAGGGTTTCAGCCCAGTTCTAGGAATGTTTACCTTACAAACTGTGCTTTTGTGTAATTAGCAGTGCCATAACATACTCAAACTACCTGACCCTCTGTTTCCCTGTGCACAGGTTTTTGGCATCCTACCCATGGTGTGGTGAGCCTGACCCTGAATTGGTGATTGTGAGCACCGTACACGTTGAACAGATTGGACCCCACTTCTCTTGGAGCACCTTCTCTTGCACATTTTAGCATTGTTGTAAACACCTTGTTTGTAATAATTGGTTGATTGAGTTACTGTTGCTTTCCTATCAGCCTGAAGCAATCTGGCAATTCTCGTCTGCCCTCTGACATCAACAAGGCATTTTCACTCAGAGAACTGCTGCTCACTGGATATTTTCTCTTTTTAGGACCATTCTCTGTAAACCCTAGAGATGGTTGTGGGGGGAATCCCAGTAAACCAGGAGGTTCTTTAATAGTCGGATAAGCCTGACTGGTATCAGCAACCATGCCACGTTCAAGCGCTTTTCTTCCTCATTCAGATGCTCATTTTGAACTTCAGAAGGCTGCCTTGACCATGTCAAGGTCAAGGTAATTTCTGACAGATTAGATATTTGCATTAATGAGCAGTTGAACATGTTCTTAGACTGCATGTATTTTCTTTGTCTGTTTTCTGATGCACTGTTTCATTTATTCTCCTTTTCAGGATTTCAGCGATTCTGTAAAGTATGAAATAAACTCTTCACATTTCATTTTTTGTCTTCACATTTTTTTCTTCTTTTTCTTCTTTTGCATTCACTAATTGTCTTTGCAAAGTCACTTAGGTTTTGATAAAAGAAAAAACCCAATGATTGTCTTAAAATGATAGTGAAGGGTTTTTATTCTTTGGTCACATAGTTGAAGCGATTGACTGACGTTTGCATGTTTTGACATATTTGAAAGGGTTTTGTTTTACTGTCTTTCACACAGTTTTGTTTTATGAAACTGCCTTTAGTGTTTTGAGAACTGCATTAAAACTGGTGAGAATAACGTTCCTGATGTGAGAATTGCATTGATCAAGACAAACTGTATCACGCAAACTGCCAAAACCTTTGCAGTTATAGAGGTGGTCACACTTGCTGATGATCGATTAACTAAGTGTAATGAATTAGCTACACCCGGCTGCTACTTAACCTCTTAATTCCTATGAAAGGAAGCATGTGCTTTCTCTCTTTCTGCATCTTTGCTTAATTTCCATTAAACAGATGATGACACTGGGTAATTTATTTAAATATGAGTCCTGCCAAAGACCTGATTATTTTTATAATGTACTAAAATGTAAAACTAGAGTTTCCAGAAGGTGTCTTTCCATTTTCCCCTCAACTTATAAAGCTGATATAGTGTAAGATATTAAATTTGGCCTTAAATGATCCATTCACACTAGTTTCTTGTCACAGGTGACTTTTGGTGATAGGCAAACATCGCTTTTCTGGAACATTAGATAAAGAAAATAAGTTGTCAGTATCCTCATTAGCACTTAGGAATGTCCCCAGGTATTCTTTTTCATCTCTTTTTGCTCACAATAAATTTTTCATTATCGAGCAATACAATATTTTTTACATTTCCCCTGATACACGGGGACAATTTCTGGGTTGGTCTTTTTCTGCAGAGAGTTGGACTATGCAAGTTTAAGAAAAAAGGTTCAGCAGAACATCTGCAGAAACACAAGAGATGAGAAAAAAACAAAAAACATATTCCACCCTAATCTTTTGGGATGCCACATTCCCAGTTAAAATTATTACCCTGAGTAAAGCAGAATTTGTGTTTTAGAAGATCTGTTTTCCCTTCTATGCCCTTCGTAAGACTGAAAAAGAAAATCCATTCCTGACATTTGAAGCAATAGTCACCAGCACAGCACCACCGAGGTTTATTTACTTGCTTTTTGCGCTCTCTTCATCATCAATTATAAGGTTCATTTTTCATTTGCACTTCACGTCTGTTGTTTAGCTTGTTGCAAAGTTGAAAAATGATTTTGTTGAAAATTTGATCTGCTAAATGCATGAGAACAGTCAAAATCCGAGAAAGATTATGTAATTTTATCAAAAACTCTGAAATTACATTTGGTTTTTACCCCTTGGGAGGGGATTGCTTTGTTAACTCATGTATAGAGTTTTAGGTAATACATTTTTTTTTTTTACTTCTGTCATAGCAAAGATCTTTAGTTAGTGTTACTTTCACTTTCTCTGAAATTTCCAGGCATCCCAAGTTGTTCAAACACTTTCTTTTTTGTTTGTTTGTCTTCAGACCCAAATTTACATTTCATTGGGTTTGGCATAAGTCACAGTATCAGAAAGTTTAGTTTTCACAGAAGAATTTGCTTGCACAAGTCTTTGACCGCAATTTATTGACAGGAAGCCAGACACTAAGCACAGGATTAATTTTGTCCAGCAAGTGTTTGACCTTTTGTGTTTTAATTTAAGCCCTCACAGACAATTCCTTATCAGACATACGATCCGGCACCCCATAGATGAGACATTCCCAGAGCAGAGAATTTCTCTCTGCTGACCTGCAGAGTTTCCATCAGCCATGGAAAACTGAAACCAAAGTGAGGTATAAAAGAGAATTTAAGTCCCATTCACAGATGAAAGGCACTGATAAAGAAGTCAGGAAGTGTAGTCTAGATTAGCGATTGTTCTGGTGGGATTTATTTATTAATTACAATAATACTTGATGAACTGATGAAGTGAAAGAAAGAAAATGTTCCAATGGTTATTCTGTTTTTCACAGCTGAGAGCTCCTGTTGCTGAAAGCTGACAGTAGAAAGTACCCTGATATTTGGAAGCTTCGGACAAAGCGCTAAACAAGATTTGAGTTTGGCCATATTCTTATTTTCTCTTTGTGACAGTAAGCTTTCCGTCAAGCTGCCCCCACATTCTTACTTTTCCTTTTTGAACTGTGCTCTAGTTTAGGCTAGGTCATTCCTTTAATGGGGATTTTCAAGTCTTGCACCTCCAGCAAATTCAGATTGTTTGGTCAAGCTACTCAGCCCAAAGTTAAAGGCTGGACTGACAGAGCCTTTGCTGGAAAATATTGATAAGTGTATGTGCTATGCTTGGTATATATAGAGAAATATATTGAATTTCCACATTCATGTCATTGCAATTATATAAACTCAGTGCTTGAGTACCCATTGCATCCTCTTTTGTAACCAGGAGGATGCAGAGGAGACTCTAATCATGCTAAGAAACTTCAAAGCAAGTCATGATGTTTCCTGAACATCGAGGTAGTTAGTTCTCCATGGGGCGCATTTTGATATCAAAGATACAAATTGGAACACTGGATGTTTTCATGCAGAAAAAAGAATTGCACTTCAAAAAACATCAATTTCTTTAACCAAGCACTTGAAGTAGCACATTTGTGTATTTTCTGATGCATTACACATTAATCTCTATTGATAAGTAACATTTCATACCCAGCTGTTGCTCTCAGACAACATGCTATTGTGTGTGTGGAACACAAACACGGCTACATCATCGTGTCATCAAATTAGCATCTCAATCCATTACAATCAGTGTTGTTTTCAGTCGCCATAGCCTTCTCCAATCCATGTTTTTTTTTATCCTTACAAGCATGCACATACACACACAAGGACAGGCATGTTGACCAGCACATAGACACACACGCACACATACAACAACCTCCCTGCCTATAAAAATTGAGGAAGCATTCCTCTCAACAGAAAAACACATCCACACATCTTGTGTGGCAGTTTAAAAAGGTCTTAAAGCAAAGATGGGACTGCCAGCTGATGAGAGTGATGATGAGATGTCATAGAGTGAGGAGGAAGATGAGGTTATAGTAGATATCCCAAAGGGAGAGGATGGAGGTGAGGGAGACTGAAGTGCCACAGCAGTAGAAGATAAACAGGGCGAAGTTCAGAGTGAGGATGAGGAAACCGTTAACGATGAAACAGGAGGTACAGAAGCAGACTTCAGAGCAGGATGATTGGAAAATTCATTCTTAGGTCGTGTTTGCTGCTGGTGGACTTCTGAAAAAAGGGTCTGAGGATATTCTCACTCTCTTCTTGCAAGATTGGCACCATCTTTCCACATCAATAGATGGCATGTCATCATCACCCTCATCACCTGGCAGCACCACCTCCACTTTTTGAAGTGCCTTACGAAACCTGCAGATGCATTTCTAATATGTGTGAAAATAGGATGTGAATTACATGTTCTTATAAATGCATTTCAATAAGGAGAGCTCATTTGGAAGAAATGGACCTGATTTACTGAGAAACTGAAATCAGTTCAACTATACTGCAATTAGACTCCAATGACCTATTATATCAGAACAGCATCTCAGCAGAGATAGGAGTTACGATGGTGGTTGAGAAGATGAAGATGTAGATAGAGATGGAGGCTTGGATGAAATTGTGACTGACCAGGGTGAGGTGGAGATGAGGAGGAGGAGGGTTGCACGAATGAGAGTTCGAAGAATGGAGTGACATAGGAGGATTGAAATTTCAAATACAGAGAATGGAGGCTGACTGGTTTCCAGAAGAAAATGACTGGCCTAGAGTAATGATGTCAGAACTGACTTTGACAGCGTGAGAAAAAGTTAAATAAAGAACAGACTAGCAGATGAGTAATTACAGATCTTTTTTAATGATCTTACGCATAAGCTTCATTACAAATCATTGTATTAATGGCAAAAACATTTAGATCCAGTGCATCCAGAAAGTATTCACAGCGCCTTATTTGTTCCACATTTTGTAATAGTAAAGCCTTATTCCAAAATGGATTAAACAGACTTTTCATCACAAAATTCTACAATGTGCCATAAAGACAGACTGAAAATGGTTTGCTTGAAATTCATGCGAGTATATTGCTCAAAATTGAGGTCAGGTGCATCTTGTTTTCATTGATCATCTGTCAGATGTTTCTACAACTTGAATCATGTCCACCTGTGGTAAATTCAGCTGATTGGACATGATTTGGAAAAGCACACAGCTGTCAACATAAGGCCTCATAGTCGACAGTGTATGTTAGAGCACAAAGGAAGCTGTGAAATCCAAGGAATTTTCTGAAGACTGAGACGGGGGTTGTATCAAGGCACAGATCAGTCCGGGTGGAGGGAAAGATCAATGCAGCAGTGTACAGAGATATCCTACAGAGACATCCTGATAACCTACTCCAGAGCACCCTGCTCTTTGGACTGGGGCGAAGGTTCATCTTCTGATAGGACAAGCCTAAGCGCGCAACCATCATAATAAAGGAATGGCTCCCTGAGCACACTGTGAATGTCCTTGAGTGGCCCAGGCAGAGCTGGTCACCTGTGCTCCTGACCCAACCTGATGGAGCTCGAGAGGTTCTGCAAAGAAGAATGGGAGAAACAGAAAGAGGTGCGCCAAGCTTGTAACATCAAACTCAAGAAGACTTCAGGCTGTAATTGCTGACAAAGGTGCTTCAACGAAGTATTGATCAAAGTTTATGAATATCTGAGCACATGTAATATTTTTGTTTTATTTTTAATAAATTTGCAAGAATTTGAAGCAAACTTTTTTCACTTTGTCATTTTGGGATTTTACATACAGAATTTTGAGGTGAAAAATGAATTTAATCTACTTTGGAGTAAGACTGTAACATGACCAAGTGTGGAACGAAACACTGTGAACACTCTCTGGATTCACTGTAATTCTAACTTTTTTCCTTGAAATAAAATAGACTTGTGCACTAACTGTGCACCATGCTTGCATTCCATCCTTGTATACCTGCTTTGGGCTTATGCAATACCATTAGAGCACAGTGTGTTACCTCGGGGCAATGTTCTTTTTTTTCCTTTGATAATATGTCATGTAGATTGTTAGGTGACTCATATTTTCACATGATTATTTGGACCAAAATGAGTGCAACTTTCATGTAAGAAAGTACTGGAAGAGGAAGGAATATAGGCCCTTTTGGGTCATGAGACCAATCTTTCTCATTTTCATTTCATATATAATTAATTAGTATGGCAGTGTCACTGGTTAGCATGAATTCCCACTTCTGAGAGAGCACTGATCCAATGAAATGGGTGTATCAGTTCATTCAAAAAGTGAGACAACCTCATCTCTCTACTGGATCCAATAAAGTTCAGATGCTGGTTTAAGAGCTTGGTGATCACTTTGAGATCTCTGCATGGTGAAATGTGTCCTTACATAAGGGAACTCCTACATGTGTATGCAATGTGCAGGTCATTGAGGTCCCCAGACCAACACCCGTTGGTGACTCCTGGTTCTAAAAAAAACTAGAGGAGACTGTGTTTTCTAAACTATGGCGAGCACGAACATTACATTTGAAATACATCTGTGGACTCTATTGAAGATTTTAGCAGCTCAAGTCTTATTTGTCATTAGTTTAGGGTTCCTTTTAATTTGTGCATATCATTGCTGCACATTAATATTTGTATTTTTACTTGTTGCTAGTTGTTGTGAAGCACTTGGTCATCCTTATGTGGAAAGATGCTACATGAATACATTTTATTTACTTTTAAAAAAAAAGAAGCTCAAATTGACTATCGTGCCTGGAGAAAACACTAAAACTGATTGCACCAAAAATGCCAAATCGCAACACACACAATCCTATCATGTTGCTGCAGCAATGCATGATGTAAATGAATGTGTCATTTGTGCAGAGCATTGTTTCTATCAGCCAGAGATGTTAGCCATGAGTAGTAAATTTTGCAACTTATTTTCTGTTAAAATCACCACTCTTTGATATATATATATATACTACGCAAGTAACCCCGGCGGAAGGGGCTACATGAATAGGATGAGGGACCTATGGATTCTTCGATACCCAACATCCACAATAACGGCGAAACAACTAGTAGCTCAGTGTTCCAACATTCGAAAGAAGGGACTGCTCTCACAGCTAGAGATTGATGAGGTACAACACAAATGCTACGGCAAGGAGGAGTCAGGATGCCAGGTCAGGGGGGAGATATCATCACCCCCACCCGAGATTGGGTACATAGCCCCAAGTGCGATAGGAGAAGGATCGTTGAGTGCGAGAGGAACTGACCTGAAAAATAGGATAATGGCCAAGCTTGAAACCTGGATCCCCCGTAGCCGGTTACCAAGATTACGTGAAGTACCCTCAGAAGGTCTGCTAGATGATGTTAATGCAGCACTACGGGCAATACCTACAACCACGATTACCGACACTAACAAGCTGATCTACAATACGGCAAGAGTGATCAGTGAGATGCTTGGCTACAAGTTGAACAGCCACAAGGGGCAGTACCCTCCATGGAGAAGGAGGCTAGAGGGCAAGATCAAAGTAGCACGGAGGGAGGTTAGCCAACTAACGGAGTTGCAGAAAGGTGCGACAAATAAGGTGCCTAAGAAATACAGCAAGCTGTCCATACCCGAGGCCTTGGAAACTGCCAAGCAAAGACTCACAGCCTTGGCCAGCCGCTTGAGGAGGTACACCAGAGAGATAGAAGGCAGGAGAATAAACCAGCTGTTCTCCACAGAACCAGCAAAGGTGTACTCTCAGTGGCAAGGGAACAATAAGAGAACAGCACCACCAAGGCTGGAGACGGAGCAATACTGGAAGAGCATATGGGAGAAGGATGCAACCCATAACGGCAATGCTCAGTGGCTAGAGGATCTGAGGGCTGACCACAGCGACCTCCCTGAACAGGGTCCAGTAACCATCACCGTGGCAGATATCCAAGAAAGGGTCTCCAGTATGAAGAGTTGGACAGCACCAGGGCCCGACATGGTTCACGCCTACTGGCTGAAGAAGCTGACTGCACTCCACGAGCGTCTGGCAGCACAAATGAACCAGCTGCTAGTTAACGAGAGACACCCGGAATGGCTAACTGAAGGCCGGACGGTCCTGATCCCCAAGGACCCCAAGAAGGGACCGGTCCCCTCCAACTACCGACCAATAACCTGCCTCAGTACTACATGGAAGCTCCTGTCAGGCATCATATCGGCAAAGATGAACAGGCACATGGGTCAATACATGAGCGGGACACAGAAAGGAATTGGCAAGAATACCAGAGGCGCAAAACACCAGCTACTGGTAGACAGAACAATCAGCCGAGACTGCAAGACCAGACTGACCAACCTGTGCACTGCCTGGATTGATTACAAGAAGGCCTATGACTCAATGCCCCACAGCTGGATACTGGAATGCCTAGAATTGTACAAGATCAATGGGACCCTAAGAGCCTTCATCAGGAACTCAATGGGGATGTGGCGTACAACACTAGAGGCCAACTCCAAGCCCATAGCACAAGTCACCATCAAGTGCGGGATCTACCAAGGAGATGCTCTGTCCCCACTGCTGTTCTGCATAGGCCTGAACCCCCTCAGTGAGATCATTAACAAGACTGGCTACGGATACCGACTACGGAACGGAGCAGTTGTCAGCCACCTCCTGTACATGGATGACATCAAGCTGTATGCCAAGAGTGAACGAGACATCGATTCACTGATCCACACTACCAGGCTATACAGCAATGACATTGGAATGTCGTTCGGACTGGAGAAGTGTAGTCGGATGGTATCAAAGAGAGGGAAGGTAGTCAGAACTGAGGGGATTGAACTACCAGAAGGCAACATTGCAGACATAGAGGACAGTTACAAGTACCTGGGGATCCCGCAGGCAAATGGGAACCATGAAGAGGCCGCTAGAAAGGCTGCAACCACCAAGTACCTGCAGAGGGTCAGGCAAGTCCTGAGGAGTCAGCTGAATGGTAAGAACAAGATCCGAGCCATCAACACGTACGCCCTGCCCGTGATCAGGTACCCTGCTGGGGTAATAGGCTGGCCAAAGGAGGAGATAGAAGCCACTGACATAAAGACAAGAAAGCTCCTTACCATGCATGGAGGGTTTCACCCCAAATCCAGCACCCTGAGGCTGTACGCTAAGCGGAAGGAAGGGGGCCGGGGACTGGTGAGTGTCAGCACCACAGTCCAGGATGAGACAAGGAACATCCAAGAATACATTGGGAAGATGGCCCCAACTGACCGAGTGCTCAGTGAATACCTCAGGCAGCAGAAACCCAAGAAAGAGGAGGGAGACGAGGAACCATCATGGAAGGACAGGCCCCTGCACGGTATGTACCACCGGCAGATAGAGGAGGTGGCTGATATCCAGAAATCCTACCAGTGGCTGGACAAAGCTGGACTGAAAGACAGCACAGAGGCACTAATCATGGCAGCACAAGAACAAGCTCTGAGCACAAGATCCATAGAGGCTGGGGTCTATCACACCAGGCAAGACCCCAGGTGCAGGCTGTGTAAAGATGCCCCAGAGACAATCCAGCACATAACAGCAGGGTGCAAGATGCTAGCAGGCAAGGCATACATGGAACGCCATAACCAAGTGGCCGGCATAGTGTACAGGAACATCTGTGCTGAGTACAACCTGGAAGTCCCGAGGTCAAAATGGGAGATGCCCCCAAGGGTGGTGGAGAATGACCGAGCTAAGATCCTGTGGGACTTCCAGATACAGACGGACAAAATGGTGGTGGCTAACCAACCGGACATAGTGGTGGTAGACAAACAGAAGAAGGCGGCCGTAGTGATCGATGTAGCGGTTCCGAATGACAGCAATATCAGGAAGAAGGAACACGAGAAGCTGGAGAAATACCAAGGGCTCAGAGAAGAGCTCGAGAGGATGTGGAGGGTGAAGGTAACGGTGGTCCCCGTGGTAATCGGAGCACTAGGTGCGGTGACTCCCAAGCTAGGCGAGTGGCTCCAGCAGATCCCGGGAACAACATCGGAAATCTCTGTCCAGAAGAGCGCAATCCTGGGAACAGCTAAGATACTGCGCAGGACCCTCAAGCTCCCAGGCCTCTGGTAGAGGACCCGAGCTTGAAGGATAAACCGCCCGCAGGGGCGTGCTGGGTGTTTTTTTTTTTATATGTATAATTTTTTTTTTTTGCTTTTGTTGCTTTTTGTTACCAAAATGTCACAGAATGGCTCCAGTGTTGTAAAAACGATAAAATACAGCAGTAGCGCTTTATAGTAATCTCTAACTATTAAGAATCATTAAGGTATTAGCAGCTGCTTAATTCATCATTTATTTAGCATTACTCTTATGTAGTATACCATTTATAAATATAGCTGTGTTATTATGACTGTGATTCTTACTAGGAGTGAAATAGTGGCAGTGATGGCTATACACAGTTACACCATGTACTGCACCGATAGCTGTACATGGTGTAACAGTAACAGAAGGATAAACATCTGCATTTATAAATTACATACTAAGGAGTAGTTATGTATAAATGATGAATTAAGCACTGTCACGGTCCGCTGTGACAGACCGTGCGGTGGTGTGTATGGTGGACCCAGGTGCGAACACAGGTGAGCAGACGGGAGTGAACTTTAAACAAAAGCGAGCCTTTTATTGTGGCTGATGACAAGGTATACAAATACAGCAGGGATAGCGTGGCTAAACAGAAACCTAAACTGGGAATAACTAAGGTAAAGCTATGACTAAGAATGCAATAGACCGGGCATGGAAACATAGAGGGTGGAAACACAGACGACGCGACACAGACTACATGAAACACAGAGACTAAATACACAAGAGGGATGATCAGGGGAAGTGGCCACACATGGGAACACAGCTGACACAGATAAACATAACAAGACATGGCAGGAGTAAACAACACTGACGGGAGACTGTCAAAGTAAAACAGGAAGTACACAGAGGTGCAAACAGGAGGAGAGAGAGAGCACGGGCATAGTGGGCTGGGGAAACATGGAAATGAAACACGAGGGGAGATGAGGGCTCACAGATACATAGAGGGGCACACAGGGGATAAGAGTCACAAGGGGAAGTCAAATAAGGAACAACATAACAGGACAACTCAGGAAACATGACTTAAATAAGGAACGAAATACAAAAATACAAGGAACTGAGAATACTGGGCCCACATGGCCCAGGACCATGACAAGCACTTGCTGATACCTTAATAATGCTTAATACTGTGACACTATTATAAGTGGTACAGATACAACCAGTGTTAGCTTGTTAATACATTCATCATTTATATAGCATTACTCTTATGTAGTATATGTAATGTCTAATTATACTGATTGGGATTCATCATCTAATTTAGTTTTTGTTTTTTGTTTTTTTAGGAGTTGATCACGAGAAGCAAAAAATAACAAGACCTGGAGGATGCTGGTGAGAGTATAAAATCTGCCTTTTAATTTTGGTAGTATCACACAGAAATAAAGTGTGTATGAAAGCATCACTTTATATATAAATGGAATACACAAACACTGCATTGTCATGAAAAGAGAGCCTAATACAGAGAATATTTTTGACTTATGCAGATGTGTTGTCTGATGTGCTAATACACCAAGAAACTGTGGGCACATGTCAGACAGACTAATACTGCCAGTAGACGGTGATTTCTCCAAAAAGAAACAAACATCTATCCCTACCACTCTCTTATCAGGATGTCTTGCGACCTCAATCTGTTACCCAGGCACATTCACACATTCTGATGCGTATTATACATCCAGACAACAATCACTGTCAGTTACAGTGAACGCGGAGGGGAGCAAGCCACATTCACATGCCAATTTTCAGCCTGATTTTTAGAAAGTCTGCTGATTGCAAAGCAGAGTTGCACATAATTTCACCCAAGAAGGCTTTGCATTGTGCATTGATTTTCCCGTCTTTAGTCATATATAAGGACGGAGGTAAAACAGAAGAGGAAGCAGGGGAAAAAAGAGGTTTGTAAAAAGGGTGGAGTGGGTGGATGGTGTAGACACACAGGACAAGCAGAGAAATCTGCAAAATGTGGGGAAAGGACAAACAGAAAGAAAGCACAGCCCTCATTAGCATTGCATTAGTACATTAGGTTTGTACTGTACCTCATTAGTCAGAATCAACTTAATGTTCACAATGTACGGTAATTTGTCTTGATGTCATTGCAGCAGGAGTTCTGCTTCCAACCCTGACGTCCTGACAAGAAACCAAATGTAGCTTTAAAAAACAACCAAAAAGTATGTTTTATTTAAAAAAAAAAAATATATATATATATATATATAAGAATAAATTAGGTAATTCAATTAATACAAATTAATTAAATTACATTCTTGCAAAGGCTTTAAAGAAGTAACTTGGAGTTGGCTACCACAGAGCATGACTTCAAGACCAGGGGCTGCAGTTCATGTCCCATCCATCCTCTTCCACTTATCCAATTCAGGGTCACTGGGGCGCAGGACGGGGCTCCAGTCTGTTGCAGGGCTAACACAGAGAGACAGACAACTGTTCACACTCATGTTCACATCTATGGGTAATTATGAATCACCAGTTAGCCTAAACCCACTAACTGCATGTCTTTGGACCGTGGGAGGAAGCCGGAGCACCCGGAGAGAACTCAGACTCCACACAGAAAGGCCATAAGCAGATGTTGGAGTCAAACTCTGAACCTTCTTGCAGTGAGGCAAGTCTTTTAAGTTAATTAAACCTAAGTCCAATCAAGGTGTGACTATATGAGTGATTTTTGAAGAGGGCACATTCCCCCTTTTTTTGGGTGGCAACAAAATAAAAGAAAGAAAATAATGTATTTCATTGTATACTGCAGGTGCGAGGACCCTTTGTATATATTTAATTCAGTTCAGTTTTATTTATACAGCACCAAGTCACAGCAGCAGTTATCTCAGAGAGCTTTACATTATTGAGGTTAAGACCTTAAAAGATTGCAGAGAGAAATGAAACGATTTCCTATGACCAAGCACTTGGTGAAAGTGAGGAGGAAAACTTTAGTTTAACAGAAGAAACCTCTCAGCTCAGGGAGGGCAGCCATCTGGCCCGACCCTCTGGAGTGAGGGAAAAGTAATGAGAGATGAGGAAAGCACAGATAAACAACAACACTGAATCATGACATATACAGTTAGGTTCATAATCTGTTGGGCAAAGACACTATTTATGTAATTTTCCCTCTGTTACTTACCGCACTAGGCTTTAAATCAAATGGGTTGAAATGCAGTTTAGCAGGTTTCATAAAGATTATGCAACAACTGTTTTGAACTTTAAGCCCTTCAGTATTTTACTTTTATTATAAATATGTGCCCCAAAGACAGAGTGAGATAGGCCACCATTAGCCTGGAAAACCAAAATAATCCTGTCAGATAGGCAGGAGAAACTGCCGGAGTGGCAAAAACAATGAAGAAAGATTTGAAGATCGCAGAAGACAAGTAAAGCACATACTGCCAGAATGAGCTCAATGCTAAAGAAAAATTACTGTCCAACATTTAACTCGATCGAAACGAGTCTTAAACGTATAATTACCAAAGTCTAGAGTCAAAAAAACGTCATGACTTTAAACACAGAGAGTTTCCAACAAGCTCCAAACCACTGGCTACACTCAAGAGATGGGAAGAAAAAAGCATGAAGAGGGGCAGAGACATGTTAAACATGGTGGAGGCCATGTTGTGGCCTGAGCCTGTGGAAGCGGGTTACTGATGATGTGACTGCTGATAGAAGCAGCAGGACGAATTATGAAGCATACAGGACTCTCTGCTCAGATTCAGCCAAATGCTGCAAAACTGATCAGAAAGAGCTCCACAGAGAAAATGGATAAAGACCCAAAGCAATACTGTAAAGACCTAGAAGAGCATGTCAGGGGGAGAAACACAGCACGTGTTGAGGTCCATGGATTCTAGACAAGGATTTTCAACCAAGTAAAAATAATTTGTATGTTTGTCGAATTAATTTTGAAAATAGAAGATAGAGGATGAGGTATAAAAATGGATGAGATTCCAACACAGTTAATGCATTTTCCTTAAAATCCCTTGAGTTAAAGCTAAAAATCTGCACTTTGATCAGATATGGACTGCTTGATTTTAAATCCACTGGGCGGTGTACAGAGGCAAACCTACAAAGATTGCATCTTTGTCCAACAAGTTATAGACCTAGTATGTTTAAACAGATGTGCAGGAATCCTAAAAGGGACCAAATATAGGTGCCAGGAGCATCCTCGTTTCCATTTGTAGTCTGTATTCCAAGCAGAGATGGGCAGTAACGCGTTACAAGTAACGCGTTACTGTAATCTGATTACTTTTTTCGAGTAACGAGTAAAGTAAGGGATTACTATTGCAAAAACGGTAATTAGATTACCGTTACTTTCCCGTAGGAACGCTGCGTTACTGCGTTACTAAAACCGTGATTTTTTTTGCGAGAATGTCTCATGACAGTGACGTAAGCGAGTGCGACGTTGGTGACAGCAGCTGTGTGCAGATCAACAATGGATCATATATCGAGTGCAGGAGAGAGTATGAGCGTGCAGCGTTTAAAGCGTGGAAGTACTGACCTTACTTTGAGTTTGATTCCATAAAAAGTGACAAAAACATTAGCGTCCATCGTGCGTGGGAAGAAAACTTCTTTTTACAGCGAAAAAAACCCCTAAACTTCCGAGCAAGCACCGAGTAGCTACGACGTGATGGGAAACTCACAGAGACACTCGCGCAGATTCTTCAACTGACCGCAGCACACCTACACCAGGGTAACCCTCCGCCTACCCTGCTCCTGCTTTACAGGTGAAAATAGAGCAAAAGGACCGCTGAGTCTTTGACTTTATTTATTTTCTGCTGTGTTTTACTTGCATCTGTTTGAAAGAGTGAGTGAAAACACAAAAAACATTTTATTTTATGTGCTGGAATGTGCAGAAAATAGGTTTAAATGTTAAACTAATTTATTCAAGTCAGAGAATGTTGCAGATAATTAAATGTTTTGCTTGATGCATAAAGTTAAAAGATTAAAACTGATAAAACAAGTTAAAAAAAGAGACTTTTCCATTTGATTACATTTTGTATGATGGATTATGCAGAAAAAGTAGAATTGGGCTGAAAGATCTATCGCTTTATCACCTCTTCAGGTTGTAAATCGTGTTTTTAAAAAGTAACTAAGTAACTAAGTAATTAATTACTTTTGAAAATAAGTAATCAGTAAAGTAACGGGATTACTTTTTGGGGGGAGTAATCAGTAATTAATTACTGATTACTTTTTTCAAGTAACTTGACCAACACTGATTCCAAGTAGCATTGACCAGTGGTTGTTGAGCGAGTTTTGGCTACAAGCAGGTAAACAAGTCTGTGTGGAGAGCAAAGAAGAACATGTGCCAACATGTCTTCTCTTCTCATATCAATGTGGTCATTTATAAGTGTTTTTTCTTTTTTACATGAAATTCTTAAAGTCAACACTGAAAAATGTCTCTGCCTGGATATATCTGGCTACACCGGAAGAGGCTGTCATCGGCCAATAGCCGGACTGGATATGTAACAGTTCCCAGTTTGGATATATCCACTCCCACAGGTTTAAACTGTGGGAATACTTGAAGCTGCCAGGATATATGCCGCAGCTGCCCTTCTCTTTGCTCACAATGCTGCCAGTGCTTGGCATGTTTACCTATCTGCCCTCATCCAGCACACCTCGGCTGTATTCCCACTATTCAAGCTGTGCCAAATTACTTCTAAGTAAATTGCAACTAGAATACTGATGTTGAAAAACTGTGGTAAGATAAATACTTCAGTTTTTGGAAACTGAGATAAAATCGCTAAAAAGTCCATTTTAAATGAGGCCACTGTGTTACGCTAAGGATTTTTATAAATTTTGTGTAACGCTTTTCAAAACATAAAGTGCTCTGCACACCAATCAAAATCTGAAAAGAACCTAAAGAGTTTCAACAACAGGAAAACCTGAACAAAAAAATTCCAGTAAGATAAGTCAATAAAGAAAAAGCTAAAGAGAAATAAAAACCTGATTTCTGTGGAAATACGTTTTGTGGAGTGATTTAAAAGTGGATACTGAGTTTTTTAAGTTTAGTTATTCTGGTAAAAAAGTTCCAAACCTCTATTTCCTTTTGTGATGCGGCAGACTTTGGGAAAGGTTAGGACCCGAGGAATGGCAGAGAGTGGTTCGGTTCATGAGGTGCATAAGTGTGTGTATGAGCGAGGCCATGTAAGGCTTTAAAAGTAATTAATAAAAGTTGGAAATCAATAAAAGTAGCCGATGTAGTGCAGCAAGGATGCGAGTGATGTGGTCCAGTCTCTTTGAATTTGTTTAAAGTCTGGCAGCTGAGTTCTGAAAGAGCCGAAGGCTGGGGATGGACGTTTGACCGAGACCTGAGCAGAGGGAATTCTAACAGTCCAAATGTGAAAACATGGAGGACTTTTTCAAGGCCTGCTGGAGGTTTTTTTTCTTTTTGACTTTTTCAGTATTTCTTAGTTTGAGAAAGCATTACAACCTTGGTCAATTGTATGTGGACTGGTATACAGCAATTTTCTGCTCTAGATTAACAAGTGTTTTTTAATCTAGGATTCACACCCACTTTGGAGCCAATGATCAATCCACTGACCTCCGGTTCTCTGCAGACCCTGGATTTACTATGTGAATACTGAGTGCTGTAAATTTAGAGCAGTCCTGTTTTGTTTCGTGCATGTTTGGAAAAATTCTAATAAAAATAAAGTTAAAAAAAATCATGCTCAGAGTCAAAGATCATACCTAGACTCCATTTCCAAATGCTGAAGGACAGATTTCTTAATTTCAGGTAAGTTATAGAGGCACTGAATAAAACAGGATCAGATTTGGAAGCACTGACCTGCAGGAAGTATTGTGACATCCAGCATTTACTATCAGAGAGAGCGAGACTGACCTTATGTTACGAATTTACTAAAACACTGTATTTGATTGAGCCAATGGAAGTATACAGACGGAGAATAAAATAAGACCAAGAACCGACCCCTGAGGGGGCTGAGCATGAGGAGAACTCTTCCATTACAACAGAAAAGGGTCTGTCTGATGAGGAGGAGTGAAAGCAGGTAAGAGCTGTGTCCTTGATGCCAACACAGCAGCATTCAAGAGGGTTTATAAGGATTTCATGGTCGGCGGTATTAAATGGAGAACTCAGATCCAGAAGAGTTGGAAAAGAACAGAGCCCATAGTGAGTAATAGATCACATACTTTGATAGGAGGTTTTTCTGTGCTGTGGTGTGTTTCCCAAAAATGCTGCTGTTGTTCATAGTCCGGATTGATTCAGTCACAAAAGACTAAAAATGGTAAGTTTCAAATAGCTTTTGTATCATGTGTATGTGTGCTCTTGGCTGCTTTCTGCTACTAGCACTATCCAATAACAATACACTGACAAATTCACTTTGTCGTAAAATATACTACGCATAGATTCAGATATGATTTCTGTTACCTATCTGCACTCAAATGCATTTGGTGATGTAAGTACAGCT